TGCCTGTGGTCCAACGGACGTTTCAAGAATAGAAACATGGCCAATGAAAAGCAATTGTCTGCTACATCAATATAAATATATATTATATATCTAATAGAATAGGTTAGGGTTTAGGCCTCATTGGTTATTGGACCCATGTTCTTATTCCTTGGGCCGACGACTAGGCTCTACGACAAAAAAAATCATACAAAGGGAGAATTAACTTGTCATTGCGACTATCAAATTCATACATTTTCTACTATAATAATAGGAATACCAATCATTTGTTTACTCAATCAAACATATTGCCAATCATAATACCTGTTATATTATTTTGTTTGATACTTTTCCTTACAAGTCCTTATTTGAAATTTTTTGAAATTTCGATTGGGGGAAGGTTGTTCGAGAAATTACGATGGCGTTATTTTTAGCGCCACCTGTCGATCTAGATAATCACAAAATTATCTACCACACATTGATACACACTTGACACTCTACTAGTTCTCTAGTTATGGAATGACCTTGAAACGATATCGACTTTTGAGTTCCGAGTCTTTCAGTTTTCCGAGTTTCTGAGTTTCCGAAGTTTCTTTCTGTCCAGAGAATAAACATCTCAGGTTTTTAGCGTCGTAAATTTAACTTGCAAACACCCACCGCAGATTGGCGCTTTAGCGCGGTCTCATTGGGCCGTTTCGGGATAGCAGTGGAACATCGTCAGCACTACTCGTTAGTTTCTTGCGTACAGGGTAAGAGAAGGAGCAGTGTAGGGAGGGGAGCGTGGAAAGGGGAGGGGGAGTGAGGAGGGAGTTAGAGTTAGTATAGTAGGAGTAGGGGAAAGCTAGGAAGTATGAGGAAGGGGAGAAGGGAGGAAGCTTGGTTGGAGAGGGGGGGAAAAGAAAGGGTGTGAAAAGGAAATGAGGAAAGGGGAGAAGAAGAGAAGGCTGTGAGGAGGAAGGGGAGAAGGAAAGAAGGTGGTGGAAGGAGTGGGAGAAGCTGGTTGGAGGAGGGGAGGAGAGAAAGATGGTGGAAAAAGGAGGGCAAGAAGCTGGTGGAAAAGGAGGAAGGGAAGGAGGTGGATAAGGGAGCTGGTGGAAGAGGGGGAGAAGGGAAAAGCTGGTGGAGGAAGGGAGGGAGAAGCTGGTGGGAGGAGGAAGGGGAGAAGGGAGAAGCTGGTGGAGGAGG